ACAAGAAGGTGCAAGCACTTTATCCTCAATTCTCTGATTGTGAAGTTTTTTATTTCATTTATCCTAAGTTTGCAGCTAATGCGAGCATTAAGAAGAAGTTCGGTTTTCAGAACTGGAATTTTTGCGCCACTGCAGGTAGGTGAGATTTTTGGAGGCGACAGCTAGCTTGTAATTTTAATTGAAACAAGGTTTGCCGTTACAAGTTCGTTTTATTGAAAAATGAATATATGCATCCATTGTATGCATTCATGGATGATAGAATAACTTCCGTGACTTCAGAAGCATTAGTTGATGGATCATTAGAGCTGAAACAAACATCTAGCCAGTTGAAATTTTGGAAATGGTCTTGAACATCCTTCCATTTAGCAGATCTGTAATGCCAAACTTTGCGCGGTTTAGATTGTTTCCCAACGTTCATCGGTAATTCAGTCAACACTGAAATGAGTTAGTAGTCAGAAGATCCCAATGGAGACCTTACGGTGACTGTGTTAATTTCTTGATTGTTTGTCCAGATCCAAGCAGGATATTTATGGTAAAACTAGTACAAAATCACATCAAAGCAGACAATATTCAATCAATTAATTAGGTCCCAGAAAAAATCAATTTGGAAAGAATAAAGCATATCAGAGATGATAAAAACTATAAGCTGGTATTGAAGGACGATAAGATTGAATAATCTTCAAATTTCACTTCAAACAAACGTTGAATAATCTTGTTGTACAGATGAACATATTGTCAATGATTGATGAGTTCACGATGAAGAAATTATATGCCTTTTCCCAATAATACATGAGATCTGTTTTGACGCAAGAACAGAATCATGATTTTTAGTGAATTTTACAAACGAAATTCCTAAAAAAAATTGATTTCATCATTTGCAGTGGACAACGAACTTCGAAAATTACAAAATTAATATCGCTCCAAAATTAGTGATCATAGAGGTTGAAAGCACAATAATGAGAATTTATTTCGGTAAGATATTCTTATTTAGACTTGATATTGCTGAAAATTTGAACAAAAACGAAAGGGGCTATATCAAACCACATTTGAAAGATCAGACTTTTCTCGTATCTCTGAATATTAAAATGGATGAAAAAATTTCAGTAAATGACGATGTTCAAGTGTTAGAATTCAGAATTGGCTTAAGGATGGATTTAGAAATAAATGTCAGGAATATTCTTATATTCAAATTGTGCCATTGCTAAGAAAGATACCTCTCTGTGAAATATATATTTATTTTTCGAACTGAATTTTTTGGAAACAGACTTTCCTTTCAGTTTCTTTTCTTACATAATTGGTAATTATTTAATGACTCGCAAGTGTTTACATGATTCAAATATATTTGTCGTAGATACACAAACAAAACTTTTCATAGAAGAATACACGCTTGAATCATAAGACACTAAAAGATGAGAATTTTATTGTTGAACTCTTTTACTCTCGGTACTTCTTCATAATTTATTACTCTGGTTCAGAAGTTTAAAGCATCATTTCGTATTTCTTGAAAGTTTGAAGTAAACAGATTATATCGCTTCGAGGACATACTTAAATTAAAAATGATCTTGGGATTCGTGCCAATCCGTAAAAAAGGGAAGGTTTTAGTAAATAGAAATCAAACAACACCTTTCGTTGACAACGAAAATGAGTATTTCCACACTAATGAAGTGATAATAAATCAAAAGAATAAGAATTTGGTTATTTAAATAAACATAGATCCGTTTTCGAAAACGTCAATTATGATGAAGTGGGTAACATCAAATTCTTATACTTTCTAGGCAAAATTAGTTTCATTAGGAAAGTATCACATGAATGATTATGAACGAAGAAATCAATTTGAAAATTTTCCTTTACGAAGACACTATCTAAGGGATCTACGAAAAACTCAGTCCATGAATATTAAGGATAAACGACTCTTCCCAAAGAGGTTCGTTACGAAGACAAGCTTCAACATCAACTGCCTGATGAAATTCATCCTCTGTCTCTCAGTGCAGCTTTCTCTGCAAAGCAACTAGATGAAACCAGATTTCCAAAACAGAGTATTCGTGATCCAGTACCACAAAGGACAAGCCTGAGTAGTAAACGGTGATATCATTTTCACGAAGCGCATTCATGGTTCAGACTAGCACCACTACCCAGACTTGTCTTTTATGGACAGTTGGGTTCAACATTGCATTCGTGGTTCAGCCTAGTATTAATGGTAAGACTTGTGGTGGGTCGAAAGGGCATTGTTTGATGTTGAATTCCGAATTGTTCCTGGGTTATTATAGGTTATGGTTATTATAGGTAGAAAGAATAATTTTTGCTTCATTGGCTGCGAAACTATAACTCTAATTCAAGTGATTATCCATTACCTACATTGCCACTGTAACTTTTTAACACATTATTTCGAAATCCCTTTATTTGGCAAACAGGCGAAATCATACGACAACTAGGAATACGACAACTACTATTTGAAGCATCTATAGTCTATTTCAAAAGAGTGTAGAGTAATAAAATCTCATTAAGTATTCAAAAGCGCTACAGGGTGATCCGTCAATAAATTCTGTCACTGATATCAATTTTATAAAGTGTTTTTTTTGAGCTCAAGTGTTTATTGTGCGATTGTGCCATTCAGGTGAGCAAAAGCTAACAAGCAGAATGTTCACCGAAAAATATTCAAAGGAAGTATGAACGAAATATGTAGTTTTGACCGGTTTTTAAGGAAAATAGTAAACACTCGTGTGACTGTATCATCTACACATCTTATAGAATAGGTCACTTGCTGCACATGCTGCACAATATACTATTGACCTATAAATGATTTTTAATGAACGATCATGTCAAAAACTAGGACTTCGTTAATCTCGCGCAAATTGTCGTTCCTATTAGGGCGACAGCTGGTTTTCGGAAAAACAAATTTTTGGAACAATTGCTTTTTGGCAGCCGTACAATTTAAATAATTCATAGAATATTTCAATTCTTTGTTTTCATTGATAAACAACTATTTTATCAATACGATGAAACTGACTCATCTGATTTTGAAACTTGACATTTATTTCCTTCGATCATTGTGTTTTGAGTGCGATGAGTCACCTTCAAAACGTATACGGTGTGGTAGATCTTCTTTAGACAGGATCCGTTTTCAGCGAGCTGAGCAAAATATTTCTATAACCCGAATATTTCTTAAAAATCACCAACAACTCGCTTAGTAAAAATCGGTTTTGAGTGAGGAGTTTGAAACTATATGAAATTACAGATTTCGAAAAGGGGACTCACT